GGCCCCCCCCCCCGCATCACCCCCCCTCCCCCGCGTCCCAATATTTGTCTTGGGTGATCTGGTCACCCTATATATACTGACCCAATAGCATATCTTGAAAACTAGAGCCAATCAACAATTTTAAGCATCATTTTCGTTCTCAGTGACCCGGAATTAGTAACGTTTGACTACATTTATTTCAGAAGCATTTTGGCTGTAGAGCAGTGTTATAGGCAGTTTGTACAGAAATGAGCCAACTCTTAAACTGGTATAATGAGTAATACCCCCAGCCCTTATCACCTTGAGCACACAACCATGAACCTACATATAGGGGACGGGGTCATTCAAAATGTATCTACATCCCGCCAGGAGATGTCGTGGCTGGGCCCTGAGAAATCAAATGAAAGCACTAGTATATGCTCTCATACTTCAGGCCTGGTTTTCAGCTCCTAGCAGAGAGGGGAATTAGAAATGGTATGATTCTTTCAACCACTTTACTAACTGTATTTACTAGTTTTCCTCTTGTACTTATAGCAACCTCAATAATTGGAAAATCTTTGACCAGCTGAGTTATTGATCAAGTGAGCCTAGGTAGCCATTTTATACATACATTCCTATTATATGTCTGTCTTTAACATTCTCTGTGGTAGACTTTACTTTGTACATTGCTTGTGAATACTATAACTTAAGTACTCTGATATTTTAGACTCAGATGCTTTCCTGGAGATGTTACCCTTAAGTGAAACAATTGCTCACAGGGAAGATCTTTCTAATCCCCTTGACCTGGATAGAATAGAGACTGTTTGACCATGCTGGTTTACATGTGTTTCAATGGAGTTATGCTGATTTATGCCAGCTGAGGATCTTCTCTCCTCCACCCTCTTCTGCCCCCCCCCCCATCTCTAGTGTATTGTGATGTGAATACTTGTTTAATTCCAGAACAAGCTGGGGAGACTGCTTGAAGAGTGCAACTCACAGGGTTGCACATCTAAGAGTCAGAGTAAAACTTAATTCCTGTATGCATTTAACAGTGGGAAGTATGTTTCTTCCTGGTCCTCTGAGCTGAATACGTAAAAAAACTGGCACTGTGACACCACATTGTATTGAATTAAAGGAATAAGACTCTTTTCCAGTAAATGGGTGGTGGCAAGTCTTTAGATATCAGTGTTTATATTTAGATGGGGAAAGTGAAAGAGGAGATGTCTGTTAATCTTTAATAATTTGGACCCCAATTAAAATCCCCATGTGTTATATGTGTTATCCCCTCATTTTCAATTCCTTAATGTTTATAGGTGCCCATAAAAATAAGAGAAGTCACAAAGTTCAGCATCTAAACGTTTGGCTTTGGTTTATATCTCTCTCTTTAGGGCAGAGCATGAAGTTTAATTTTCACTTTCTAAATCTCTGTGATACTCACGTGACTGCCTCCAAGTGTCCATATAAAGCGCAGTGGGGGAACAGATCAAGCATTCTAGGCAGAATTCTTATGCTGTAACTTCATCTGCTCTCAGCTTTGCAAAGATGACAGATCAAGGAAAGACTTCAGCTGCCTCTTCAGGGTAAGTCATTGTTGCCAAACATGCCATCGTTATGAGAAGTGTTGTAAAAAAATTGAAATTCATTTTTTCCCCAAAATTTTGATTTTTTTTAAGTGAAAATATTCCAGTTCTAATTTATTTGTTGTTTGCAAACTAATTATTAAATGTCAGTTCATTAACATATAAAGCACTTTAATAAATGCTAGGTGCTATTATGATTACACCTAATGTTTTGTCATTGCCTTCTCTCAGTTTAATATTTTGTCTTGTGATCTATTACATGGGGAGTTCCAGTATGGGATTGCAAACTGGAAAATAGAAAATGTAATAAATATGCTTTTCACACTTTGATATTTTCAACTACTCTGGAAAGAAAATACACGTTTTGAGGCTAATGGGCCATTTCTTCTTTAGTGGGCGGGATAGATATCATTCAGCTCTACTTACTATATTTCTATGATTCGTGGCCACCTCTTTGTGATGCAACACATTAATTGCTATGGCTGTGTCTCTATTTCTATTTTTAAATGTCTTCTTTCTCTTGCGATAAGAATAGTGTCTGTCTATTGACTTTCAAGGATGAATTACAGGCACTTCTGCAATTTTACGTAATGTCATGGAATGAGTCACCCAACTGCAGACCGGGGTGAAAGTCACTCACTGAAGTCACTGGAAGTTTTTCCATTATGCGGCCAGGACTCTGTAATAATCAAAGTAGTGATGACTCCAAAGAATCCAGCCCAGGTTTTACACAGGACCGAGTCCTTGAAGGAATAGACCAATGTGGGAAATAGTTTCAAGCTGGTACCTAACAATGTCAGGTGTATCCAGTGAAGCAGCTTCTTCTTTCCCCTAATAGTACATCTTAGTGTATTAAAAGGTCCTTTCAGACACGCCAGTAAAAATATCAATGGTTTTCCCAAATCAGCTGGTTTGATTGTCATACTTCCATACTTATGCTAGTAATCAATCTTAGATGGAGCCCATTTTCCCAGTTTTATATGTCACTATAGTCAATAAGAAAAACTGTATATGATGAAGGAAGAACTATAATTTTGTTATAACACTCTTTTTGTAAAGATTAGCGGGGCTACAAGTAATTAACTTTTGGATGGAAGATGTTTCTGGTATAGGAAGACTGAGAAAACAAATCCACAGATATCTTTCATCTGTTTTTCCTTTGCCATAATTTTGGGATAAAGAGCCTATGTCTGCAATACTGTAACATAGTGTGAAGACACTAGACAGTTAGAAAACAATTTCAGAGGCCAAAGGTGCAATTCACAGGGATGATACTACATCACCTGTAGTGATGCATTTTTGAAGAGAGTGGAGCAACATCAGATTTCAGGTATTAGGGTTTATGGTTGTGAATGGCAATGGACACACATACTTCAAGCAGTTTTGGATTGTTTTTTTACAATATTTAATTTCTGGAGGAATCATCAAAGAGGAGGAAACTTTCCTTTCCTGGTGAAGGAATGAATTTAGAACAGTGTCCAAGATTGTCTCTTGGCAGATAAGAATGTGTCCATCCCTTACATGTAACCTGTTGGTTGTGGGAAGCAGTGCATGGGTGCAGGATGTTGTGAACATTCACTGGATTGTGAGGAAATCAGAGTTTTATATGCTTGCTTTGTTAAGAAATGTCTTCCCCATTTATCTGATTTCTAGTTATGGGTCTCTATTGTGGTAGTTATTAAGAATTCTCAGGGCCAGATCCTCAGTTGAATAGATCGAAATAGATGGAGAGACACTGATTTATACCAGTTGAATATCTAACTAACATAGCTCCATTGATTAGCTGATCTACAGAAGCTGAGGATCCAGGCCCATATAGCAGTGGTTAATCATAGGTCATTGCTCCAAAACCACAGCCAAGACTTGATGTGTCACTTATCACAAATAGTTCCTCAGGGGTATAGGAGATTGATGGGGGCAGTGATCAAGTGTTTCTCTAGCCTCTCTGCATTTCCTGTCCAGAGGCATTCCTCATCTTCCACTTGATCATGTTGTCATAGGTCTTTGCCACCCCAGCTCTCCCTCGATTTAGAGTACACCAGTGTTTTTTTCTTTGAGGTCAGTGCCTGGAGGGAGTTGTCCTGAATGAAGCAGGTTCTCCAGGATCACTGGCATTTTTTGTAACTCTGTAGCCTTCCACGGAGGTATTTTGGGGTAAGGGATTTTCAGAGGCAAAGCTCTTTCTGGACTTCCACTCTTGGGTGGTGGAATGTGGCCATGAAGTGGATGTTTTAGCTCATGCACCTGTTTTTTGTGTTGTTTTTTATTGAGGGTATGCTGTCTCACTGATGGTGATGCAGTCCCAGTGAGGCAGTCCACTGACAGTGTGGGAGTCCGTTTCAAAATCCCTGTGATCATTCTACAGGATTGAGTTTAATATTAATTTTGTCTGCATGGCTCCTTTAAGCAGAAAACTGGAAGGTAAATGCACTTTAGTTTCAGATGCAAAGAATACGCCAACATAATAGCACCATCTAGCTGTTATATAGTTCTATTATGTTGGAGTATTCTTTGCCTCTGAAACTAAAGTGGATTTACCCTCCAGTTTTCTATTCACAGTCAAACTGATTCAAGGATCCTTTGGGTCAAGGAACAGATACGGCTGCTGATGTGAAGAGTCTGTCTGTGGTTGAGACACTGCAGAGTTCTGAGCCAATGTCAGTGCCATAGGTAGCTGATTTATTTTCAGTGCAGGCAGAAATTTGCAGTTGATATTTATGGAAATTTGAGTCCTGCAGGACAAGGTAGCCCTGGCAATAGTGGCTGGCAATCAACTGGGGATGAATCCTCCAGAAAACACAACACTTAAAACATTTTAGAAGATCAGCCCACTTGTTGATCATTAGTGAACAGTACTGGATGTTGCAACCTGAAATCACCTGCAAATCCACTAGCCCTGATCATGGCCAGATCCATCTCTTCACAGGCACCAGTGCAATAGACAGTGCTACTGTAACTTGCACCCCTTTTGCAAAGGCCCTTGTGAGGCTTTGCAGGGACATAGAATTGCCAATGGAATAGATCTTCTCCAGCAACATACAGGGGCGGCTCCAGGCACCAACGCAGCAAGTGCGTGCCTGGAGCGGCAAGCCGCGGGGGGCGGCGTGCTGGTGGCCATGAGGGCAGGAGTCAGGTGGCCTTTGGCGGCATGTCTGCTGGAGGTCCGCTGGTCCCACGGCTTCGGCGGCAATTCGGTGCCGAAGGCACCGGACTGGCAAATCACCCGCAGAAACTCCGCCGAATCTGCATCACCAGCGGACCACCCGCAGGCATGCTGCCGAAGGCTGCCTGACTTCTGTGCTTGGGGCAGCAAAAAACATAGAGCCGCCCTTGGCAACACCTTCCCACCCCAAATCTGCCTCCTCCACCTGTACCCTACACCGACTGTGCCCAGCCTATACTCAGGTTTGGAATAGAGGTGACACAGCGTTAGTAGAGCTTTCTGTGCCAAGCGTATTGCCGAAAGGTGGGGGCCTTGCACCTGCCCTAGGTTTCCTTTGTGCTAGCCTCGCTGGAGTAAAAGGGCCACAGGGCAATGATAAATCAGGGCCCATTTTGTATTAATAATTTTTAAAAATTAAAGGGCCCGAATCCTGAGATTTGATAAGAGCTCCCACTGACTCCTGGCTCTCAGGATCAGGCCCATTGTTACTAAACATAATCATGATGACTGATCTTTCTGTAGGCAGCCATTATACAGTGAACAGCAACATTTAAAACAACCCGCGTTTCCTCCCACTCTCAGGAAAAAAGCAACCAACAGTTCAGGACATAAATGCCTGGCCAGGAAAAATAACTTTTTTCCACTTGAAACTCCAGGGGAAATTTAGGTTAATGGAATGTAACTATCTGATCTGAATTTGGCCAGAACCCAGGAGTTAACACCCTAATTTCTATAGCAGTTTTCATGGGATCTTTAATGACCACAAATGGCAAGACTTCAGATTTATGTCTGAAATATATCACCCCTAGTTGCATACTAGGGCACTGGTTCACTTACTATGTAGTCTTTGTGTAGCCACTCAGATACATAGCATGATCTATAACAAATTTGATTAAATTCCCTCAATATGACTAAAAACAAAAGCTTGATTTTAAGTCACACTATTACATTAAGATTTCATATATAAAAAGCCTCACTTGTTACTAATAACTAGATATTTAAAATATTTTTATTTTACTTAATATAATGAATGTACTAGTCCCTACTTCAACTTTTTGGTTCACTTCTTGCATTTCTTTAGACTTGGGCAATGGTAATTTACTTTTGTTTATAGTCCTATTCTTTTCAGTTTCACTTCGATCCTCATGGGTTTGGAACAATGCTTCTGTGTTTGACCCTAAATAAAAGACACTTATTTTTCTCACTGTTGCCAACTCTCATGATTTTTATCATGAGGCTTTATTCTTCATAAAGCCTCAGCTTCTGGAGTCAGGTGATTATCTAAGAATCTCAGCTTCGATTTAAACAAAAGCACATTTCTAACCCTCACTGTTGTGGAGGAAAGCTTGCAAGCATGAAACATAAATGCTCAAAACCAAGAAGGCTAATAAAAAGAACCCCAATGTATTATTTTTTAAATCTTATGAGTTTTGGGTGCCTGAATAATGATTTTTGAAAGCTTAGGGTTGGCATTGCTGTTTCATTGACAAAAAGAAATCATGTATGTGTGTGTGTGTGTGTGGGGGGGCGGAAATCATTCATATTAGGGTTTGTAACCAAACCCCTTTGTCATAACTATCAAGGGAAGGGTAACAGCTGTCCTTTGTACAGTACTATAAAATCCCTCCTGGCCAGAGACTCCAAAATCCTTTTCCCTGTAAAGGGTTAAGAAGCTCAGGTAACCTGGCTGGCATCTGACCCAAAGGACCAATAAGGGGGCAAGATACTTTCAAATCTTGTGGGGGGGAAGGCTTTTGTTTGTGCTCTTTGTTTGGGTTGTTCGTTCGCTCTTGGGACTGAGAGGGACCAGACATCAATCCAGGTTCTCCACATCTTTCTAAACAAGTCTCTCCTATTTCAAACTTGTAAGTAAATAGCCAGGCAAGGCA